AATGGGCCCCAAACGGTCGGTAACCGGCATGTTTATGCCATAGGGATGACTGAGGCGCCACCCCTGGCATTGGCCAGGTACCTCTCGGAAATCTGGGAGGCCAGGCACGTCGTGCTGAGGCGCTTCGCCCTGAAGCGGACGAGGGAGAATGAAGATGACCTCCCGTGTACCCGCATCAATACCAATACAACGTCCATGGGCCCCCCGGCTTTTATGGACACACCCGCACTTGTGTGCGGAACTTGTAACTTGTAACTACCCATACGAGCCGAAAGCCCAAGGGCAATACTACAACGCCTAAAAGCCACGGAGAAAAGGAAACACCGCACATCAGCCCAGACTAGCATCCAAAGGGGGTAACTGAGTTTCGGCGAGCCCACATACATTCCAACATCCTCGCCAGATGTGCTGGTTCCCATTTCTTAGCCTCCAACATGCTCTGTTGATGATCGAATCCCTCTTCAGCACGAAGGGCATTCCATATAGTTCATTCCAATGACACGTGTTTTTCATCCTCGATTCGGCTATTAGTACCACAACAGCGGCAAAACCGCTGCCCCCTGGGGACATGGTACTTGCCTCTTCGTGCTCTGTTTGCCTCCAGAGCCCAGCAACATAAACGAAACTGCATTAGCTTACGATGTGCTAAACGAGGAATGAAAACCTTAGCATGTGTTGGCCACATGACGGCTGCGGCTCCCGAAAAGGGCAGCCCCATCCAGTGCTTATACTTCGCCATATGCACTCCCGGTTGCTTCCCATCTGATGGGTACTCCTCTGGCAAGATAGTCAGACGCGTATGGTCCCAGCCGCTCATCAAACGCTCTCTTAGTGCCGTTATCATCGCTCCTTCAGGTAGAGGCCTACTCAACCACCAGTCAACACGCTCCTTTACCCCCATGACTTCTTGCGGTATTCCGCTCCAAATATTGCACTCCAAGAAGGAAAACAGTCGTAACATTGAGGTTCCCCAACCCTTCCATTCCGGGTTGGTCAGGGCATCGGTTATCTCCTGCCGTAAAACTGCATGAGCAATGGACCCCACTTGTTTTTGAAGGCGGTTCCAGAAACGGAGGATCTGTTTCACCATGTAATACTGTAAGGGGAGTTCAGCCAGCTCCGCATACAACAGCCTGTGACCGACCTGTATCACATAACTGCTGACGGCACGCACTAAAAGGCCGTTCTGGCCCGTATACCAAGCCCAGATAGCGAGCGCTATCTTTGGCAGGTGCTACCTGGCCTGATAGCCGTAAATGTTGATTTCCCTCGCTAAGTTCCGACTGCTGGGTGCCATTACATGCAAAAACAAGCCTTTCACACTGAGACATTTGGTCGCATCCCAAAGGCTTCGCAAAACAAGTCCACAAGATGTAGCAACGCAGACATTCACTCTAGTGACATCGCTAGCAGACTAACATCGTCTGCATACAACAGTATGGAGACGCGCTTGCTGTCCACAAGGGGTACGTCATGCTTACGCACTCCAGCTTCTACAAGGTCATGCCTCTCAATCAGACCAGCTAGTGTCTCAATGAAGAGTCCAAACAACTCCGTAGATAAAGGACACCCTTGCTTCACGCCTTGCTTAGACTCAAACTCTCCCCCCACTTTCTCATTTACCTTCATCACCATGGACACCTTCTCGTACGCTTTTCTCAGAGCATCTAGCATGGGGCCGCTAATCCCCCTCTCCTGCAACCGAAGCCACATGTGCTCGCGAGGCACCCTATCAAAGGCCTTCTCAAAGTCAATCTGTACTATTATCAACGGCGGCTGCCCCGCGATCCGATGCCGCCTGACCAGATGTTGCTTGACAAAGAGGTGATGAGTGGTGCCGAAACCCCGCCTAAAACCCGCTTGGCATGGGTGCCGCAGGTCCAGTATTTCCCCAGCACGTACCAGGCGGTTAAGAATCGCATAGCACTTCGCAAGTGCCCCTCCAACTGCAATGCCCCGATAATTTCCTGCCACCAACGGGTCAACCTTCTTCAAAATTGGGGATACCACCGTTTTGGTAAACTGCTGTGGAAAGTCACCAGTTGCCCTGATGGGCTCTAACAAAACGTGCAGCACTGGGACGATATAGTTCACCTCCGTTCCCTGCCTGCCCTGCTCATCCACCCGTGGGAGGCGTGCATAACGGTAACATATCGATGGTACGGCCTCAAGCCCATCAGCCGTTCCGTTTGGTAACCTATCGACAGCACGCGCTACCTCCTCCAAGGTGAAAGGCTCATCCAGGATGCTAGCTGCCAGGATGCTCCAGGATGCGCTCCAGGATGCTCTCCAGGATGCTCTCCGGTCCATGACAGTCCGACATGCTTGCCAAGCACCCTCTCCCAAAGGGGCCCCAAGAAAGGAGATATAGTTAAGGAGCCGAGGTGCACCTTCAACACCCGTCTCCCCAACTCCTGCGTTTAACAAGGTGGCAAAGTGATCCCGAAATACATGCAAGTCATCAATTGCGCAACGCTCCCTGAGTTGCCCTCCCAAGGCCCGCCATAATGCGCGCTGATCGTGCCTGCACCTAACCACAAACTCACGCATTCTCTCTGCATCATATGCTGCTCGGGCACAGCGTTTGGCACGATTCATTGCATTACGTGCCTTGCAAAACGCTTCCCACAAAGCGCCTGATTTATTCTCGACCCAGGGCCAAGCCGCACCCTGCAAGCAAGCATGTGTTGCCGGGCGCTTTGGCATTCCTCATTCCACCATAATGGGAGGGCGGCGCTGCGCGGGGCGGCGCAGGGGAGGGCGGCGCTGCGCGGGGTGGGGCAGGGAAGGGCGGCGCTGCACGGGGCAGCGCAGGGAAGGGTGGCGCTGCGAAGGGAGGGTGGCGCTGCACGGGGCGGTGCAGGGGAGGGTGGCGCTGCGTGGGCCGGCGCAGGGGAGGGCGGCGCTGCGCGGCGCGGCGCGGTGCAGGGGAGGGCTGTGCTGCGCTGGGCCGGGCAGTGCTGGCGCGGGGTGGGGCGGGAATCGGAACAGGGCAGAGGTGCCACCCACCTTCTTGTGGGTCTGGGTTCAATTCCCAGCTGTCCCTTTATGACCCATGATACATACACACATATGTCCGTGAACACATGAGCACACTGGCAGAGGGCACACACATACAAACAGAAAGGACGGAGGGAAGGGCAAGGGAGAGCAGGGAACAGCAGAGGAGAAGGGCAGAAGGGATTT